CGGGGGGGGAGGGATGCTTGGGAGTTATACCTGATGTAATGACGAGTTGATGGGTGCAGCACAGCAACATGGCACAAGTATACATATGTAACAAACCTGCACGTTATGCACATGTACCCTAGAACTCAAAGTATAATAATAATAATAATAATAGTAATAATAATAATAATAATAATAAAAAGAACTCCTAGTCTCAAGTGATTCTCTCACCTTAGCCTCCCAAAGTGCTGGGATTACAGGTGTGAGCCACTACACCCAATCTCAAAATCTTGTATTTAAAATTCTTCTATTTGATTCTCAGAATCTAAGCCAAAACTGTTAGATTCAGACTTGCAGGTCCCAAGTCAGCTGGAAATCTAGGTGATGCTGATGACACGTAGAAGCCGAGAAGTAGCCACAGAAGTTGTGCTGTGTGCTTGGTGACTAAATGACCACACTCCTTCCGCTATGAGAGCTGTCTTTCTCCTGGGGAATAGAAGAATACACACACAAAAAAAATCCAGTCAGTGTAATCCGTCTATGCATGTAACACATAAGGTGTGCTTGATTCATAAATCCTAAGTGGGTGGTGGCTGCCAGGACAGCAGATCTGAACCTAAAAAATACTTCTTTACTCTTCATGAAACCAATCTCTCTCCCTAGGCTTAGGTTTTTCTTGCTTACCTCTCTAGAGACTCCCTCAAATACCTTTAATTTCTGAACATTTAATCCAGTCTAATTCACTCTGCCTCTTGCTCTGTTTTCTAATACCTTCAAGTCTCCCTGAGACTCAAAAAGTGGTACCCTGTTCCATTCTCCAGTCCATCTCCCTCCCATTCATTCATAAAGACATTGCTCAGTTCTCTTTTTCCTTTTTATAATCTCCTGAATCATTCCTTTCCAGCCTTCTTCTAAAAAGTTTGGCTTCAAACCTTGGTATTTCTCTGAAGTTGTTTTTCAAAGATCACTAATTACTTCTTCCTGACCATACTCAGTGGCTTTTTTTTTAAGAAGTTATTCCACTCTACTTGGTCTTTGGGCTTTTTCCACTTCCTTGGTGAGGGTGAAGAACTGTGGTTGACATTTCTCGTATTTCTCTAGCTATGGTAGGGGATCATTTTATTTAAGTTTTGAATATCTTTAGTTGTGGTCCATGAATGTGACCTTCCTCATCTTATTTGAAATAGGAAAACAAGATATCTGTCCTAAAATATACTGCTCAAAAGGGATCACATATGTATGTACATTCATGTTGCTATAAAAAAGAAAGTTTCCAATTTATCAGGAAAGTGAGTTTCAGGGGTCATGATTTCTAATCAAAATACTGCAGGATAAATGTTCTCTGACATAATAGAAAACAATGAAATGCAGTAAAAGGAACTTGTCCAAGTTTGCTAAAAGAAAACCTAGACATGATCAAGGAGTAGACATTTTGTTGAAAGTAGGAGATTAAGAATGCCAACATAAAACTTTCTAAAAATTAAATCAAAAAGTCAAGAAAAAAGCTGGGATTCTCTACAGAAAGTTTGAATTTAGGTTGGAGAAGAAAGAACACCTTGGCTTTCTCTTGTATTAGAACAGGTGTATACTGGCCAAGTTTGGAACAAGCCAGAAATACTTTGAGAATGTCTTAGGACAAGATTAGAAAGAAAGATAATTGATTGGAAGGAGTCCAGGAGCCTGGGCCACACAAGTCTGTAATCACTGAAGGTAAAAGCTTGAAGTTTTTGCTCCTTATATTTCTGAGGTTATAGCTTCAGTGGAGTGAAAAGGCCACCAGACCTGAATTGAGAAGATCTTGGCTGGAATCCTGGTTCTGAAGTTGGGTGGAAGATCCCTCAATATAACTTCCATTTTCTCATGGGCACTGTGTAACATACAGTTTCTACCTATTTCAGATTCCCATGAAATCATCTGTATGGAAGCCCTTGTTTGTCAGTATCTATTTGTTAAACATTACTCTTGAGAGAGAAGGTTCCACATGAACACCAAAAAATAATTGTTCCATTTATGTTTCTCTAAATGCCAAATAAAGTATTTTAAATAAGCATTTTATAAAACGTTATGGTAAAGCTGTAACTGCTGAAAGCCTGCTTTAGGAAAATAGTGATACATCTTATCAACTCAAGCAGTAAACAGAAACTTCCAGTGCTGCATGATGGAAGGTCCCCATCTAGAGGCCCAGTTGTATTATGATGTTTCATTACAAGCTCTAATGACTTCAGAGGCTAGGAAGGCAGCCTGTGTAAGAAGCAGCAGCCAGCCCAAGGAGAGGAGGGAAGAGCATGACTTTGGCCCTGCAGACTTTGCCTCAGTAAAGGCATTCAAAATTTAAGTTACAAACAAAACAAACTAAACACAGTGCCCTTCAAACTGAGCAATCTCCCAAATCGAGCTTTGGTCCTGGGCCTCTGCTCACTGTCAGAATATGAATGGAAAGTTGAATGTGATAAGTAAAGTGATAGCTCCTTGGGAGATAAGCTCAAAGAAACTCCAAACAATGGAGGCTTTTACAATTTCTTGTACAAAATCTTTGCTTCTTGGGAGTAACTTTACAATTGAAAATTTGGTTTGGTTGTGGTAGGTGGTAAAGGAAGCTGTGATATTTTCAGAAAATGAGGAAGAAATAAAGTCACCAGAAGATATCATTGACTCCAAATGATAATCTCTTTCTCTCTTTCCTTTTTTTCTGAGTCAAGGTCACATTCTGTTGCTCAGGCTGGAGTGCAGTGGTGCAATCATGGCTCACTGAGCCTAGAACCTGGGCTCAAGTGATCCTCCTATCCTTCTGAGTAGCTGGGACTATCGGTACATGCCACTGCACTTGACTATACTTCTCCAAGGAGGCAGAAAGGGCACAGGCTTGAGAATCAAAGTGCAATTCAAACCTGAGCTTCACTCCCTATTGGCTGTGTGGCTTTGGGCATGCTACTCAACCTCTCTGAGCCTCCCATAGTTGTGAGGATTAAATGAAATGAAACTTGGAGGCCAGGCACGGTGGCTCATGCCTGTAATCCCAGCACTTTGGGAGGCCGAGGCAGGTGGATCACAAGGTCAAGAGATTGAGACTATCCTGGCCAACATGGTGAAACCCTGTCTATACTAAAAATACAAAAATTAGCCGGGCGTGCTGGCATATGCCTGTAGTCCCAGCTACTCAGGAGGCTGAGGCTGGAGAATCGCTTGAACTGGGGAGGCGGAAGATGCAGAGAGCCGAGATCGCGCCACTGCACTCCAGCCTGGTGACAGAGCGAGACTCTGTCTCAAAAAGAAAAAAAGAAAGTTTGGAAAGGGCTTAAAGTGCTTATCCAGTGTCTGGAATATAACTGGTGTTCCTCACCCTTCTCTCACTTACAAGAAGCCACATAATTTAACTTACAGAAAATAATTTAACTTAGAAGAAGATAGCCTGTAGATTTGGGGTCCAAAACTGGATCTTAACTTTGTTGTTGTTATTGTTATAATGAAGAGACCTGGTTTAGTCACAACATGAGTAAAGGAGGTGTGACTGTCCCAGCTTTGACTGTGTTTTCTTTCAGGATGTAATTTTCTTACTGGTAACACAGAAGAAACAGTTGTATCATCTGTAAATGAGTACAAAACACACAGGGTGGTTGTGAGGATTAAGTAAGATGTTATATAAGATGTCTATAACTCAGTACCGCTTAGTAAGGAGTAGCTATTTTCACTATTGTTGATCCTTATCACTCAAGGGACATGTGTGAGAAGATGATATAATTGCCATTGATTATTACAGAAATGCCTGCTGGTCTTTGCTACCTTCCTCACAAATCACTCTCACCAAGGTTCTGCTCTAGAAAGAGCAGCACTGTGGCTCTCCTAAGAGGCCTGCTCCTTTGCACACACCATGTGTGTGATTGAGTTTTTAAAAAACTCACAGCAGAACATGTACTTCCAAATGAGAGTTGTATCCTTCAAAACCTGTGAGAGACTACAGTTCTTCTTTTATAATATCTCTCTGCTCCGGGAACTTCTTTCAGAGCTACTGCATATACCTTTGACTATCTCAACAGAAGCAAAAGAGAAAAGGATTTTGGTCAAATAGAGAAAAGATCTTCATGGGTAGCCTGTAAGTTGGCTCTGAGGCAGTTTATTAATGTTTTTGAGCAGTGGCAACATAGCTTTGCAAAGTGACATTAAAGGAATGCTGTCATTTGGATGTATTAATTAAATTTTTTTTTTTTTTTTTTGAGACAGAGTTTTGTTCTTGTCACCCAGGCTGGAGTGCAATGGCACGATCTCAGCTCACTGTAACCTCCTCTTCCCAGATTCAAGTAATTCTCCTGCCTCAGCCTCCCAAGTAGCTGGGATTACAGGCACCTGCCACCACACCCAGCTAATTTTTTTTTTTATTTTTAGCAGAGACAGGGTTTCACCATGTTGGCCAGGCTGGTCTCGAACTGCTGACCTCAGGTGATCCACCTGCCTTGGCCTCCCAAACTGCTGGGATGACAGGCGTGAGCCACTGCGCCCAGCCCCAAATAATTTTTAAAGCCACTTCTTTAAAACAACACAAAAGATCTGCATCCAGAGGCCCTAAAGGCCTACGCCCTTCTGTGTTCCCCTTTTAACTATGTCTGGCACCCATTGGCATCTTGCCTATCCACAGAATCTTAATGTTGTGGCCTGTATATGGAATATCAGGGTTTTAAAAATCAGTTTAATGGTTCCTTCCAGGGGATGTCTCAGAGGGTCCCAACCTCACATATACCAGGGCCTTGAATGCTGACTTAACAAGCGTCTTCTGTCAGGCCCAGTGTTCTAATTTGGGGTATGGAAATGGGTTGCTAACTAAAGAAAGCAAAGCAGCTGTGAAAGGAGGTGAGGCTTTAGCCACAACGACCTGCATTCAAGTCCTAGCTCATAGCTTGCAAGGTGCTTAATCATGCTGAGCCTTATTTTCTCCCGTGACCCCGCTTGGCTTGCCCCACAGGACTGCGATGACAGCCGAAGTGATGGTGAGAAGGCGCTTCACAGGCAGCGAACTCTCCCCTGCACTCTGCACGCGCTTGATTTCTTTAGCTTTAGCAAGAGGTAGTCCACCCAGCCCACAGTGTAATTTGGGCAAAACAGGGAGGAGGCACCCTCTGTGGCAGAATGAGAGGCAGCCTGTGTTGGCTGTGGTCATGCCTGGCTGGAGGGTCCTCTCTGCCCATGCCCGACCCTCAGCAGGATGCCCCAGGCTCACCGAGCGCTTCTCCACACTCCCTTTTTTCCTGCTATTCTTGCCTGGAGTGACATCCAGTGAGCGGTAGCTAGGTGGCTTCTCCTCGGGCCAGTGTGGGGAGTGCGAGCGGCGGCGATGGGCCCCCCAGCTCTGGGGCTGCCTCTCCTTGTCCTCTTCAGAGCTCCAGGAACTGAGGCCGGAGGGCAGGGGAGGAGAGTAGCTGCGGTGCCTGCGTCGTCTCCCGTGCCTCTGAGTGCTCTCCCGGGGGCTGAGCCTGTGGGGCCTCTCCTGACAGCGGCTCCTGAAAGGAGGGTGGCTCGGCCGCCAGCGTGCCTCGCTGGACGAGGGGACATCGCTTAGGCTGTCCCTGTCTGACCAGTGTATGGGTGACCCATTCAGTCTAGAGCTACGGTGCCTTCCACTCCACGATGGGTCCAGTTCTCTTCTTTCCAATGCCCAAGACTTTGGCCCCCGGTCCTGGAGCTCCTGGTGGAAATCAGGGTAATGGTGCTGCCTTCTCCCATCTCTCAGATCCCAGGGCCTGGAGTGAATTGGGGTGAGCCACTGCTGGTGCAGGGAGTCACTGGTCCTCCTTGAGGATGACAGGTCTCTGATCAGTGGGGGCAGGTGGATGATTCTGCGTTCCACGACCTCGGAGCCCAGGGAGGACAGCATGCTGCAGGGATGGCCAAATCTGGCTTTGAGGTCAGGGGGCAGAGGCTGCGCCAGGTTGAGGTTCCGCAGTTCTTTCTCCAAATACTCCAGGACACCATTGGTGATGGGAGGGTGATTGGTGGTCTGGGTCATTGGCATCTGAGGGAGGCTGGACCGCAGGGACAAATCTGAATGGAAACAAGGACATGACATATAGAACAAATGGCCCAAAACATACACCTCAGAATCAGGACATCAAAATGTGACATTGGTTAGCATGACTCCCTCCCATCCTCCATCATGAAGATGCCCGCCACATTGGTCACAGAGGCCTTGATGTAGCCCATGTTCCTGCCCTTGCCCTCTGCCCTCCCCTACCCCAAATCTCTGGAAGAGTTTACCTCGCTGCAGCAGCGGGTGCATTGGATAAGATGAAACCTGGGAGCTCCTGTCCGCCCCCCAGTACAGGGGTTTTTCCATCATCTGAGGACCTAGGGCCTGGGCCTGCTTCATGTAGTGGTGGCGGGCCAGGGCTGCAGGGGAAGAAGGAGAAATGCAGACCCTCAGCCAGGCAAGCCCCACACCTCCCACTTCACTTCTCTCCACCTAGGGGCCCTGCAAGAGGCCAGCTTCTCTTGTCCGTTCTCACCTATCTTGCATGGGAGTAAGGGTTAAGGGGGTAGTAAATTAAATGTCCCCCTGGCGAGGAGCTGGAACTAAATTCTCTTCAAGACTGCAACTTCTGTATCCCAGGAAAGTATATTCTTAAAACTTGACTTCCTAGCCTCAAAATCATTTCATCATCTTGCCCATTCCTAAGGTCACCCAAAATGCATAGGTAGATTCATGGATACTAGCATACAATGAATTACTGGGCCATAGGCCAACAAAACTAGAAGCCAAAGGCCAGAAACAGAAGGTACAGATGCAAAGGACTTAGAGGAGGCTGTGAGTCAGGGCCTGGTGGCATCTGCTCGAAGAGTGAAAGAAAAAGGGAAGGGCATGATACTGAAGATAATGGGCAGAATTACTTGGCAATTATATGGAAGAGTGTTTCTAGCTGGCACGCCAACCCTGGATGGAAGAAAATTTGTGGGAAGAAGGCAAGGGTGTGCAAAAAGCTCAAGTAGATTCCAGTGGGTCCTTTCTACTCTTCTCCTCACCTTATTGAGATTGTCCCTAAGTAGGGGAATTTCTAAGGGGTGGGGTAGAGGCAGGGAAGGGGGATGAGAAATACTATTTCCTTTATGGCAAAGAAAATCATATAAAAAAGTAGTGCAAGGATCCATAGAAATGTCACTCCAGCCCCTTAGGTGGGGCTGGTCTGAGGCATACAACCCACAGTGAGTACTAATTAAAAACAAAAGCATTTCATTGTTTTTGTTCATGCTTTTCTATTTTGGGGTAGTTGTGGCTGAATGCCTCATGTTTCCTAAGTGCTCTGCCTATCCATGCGTGTTGGACGCGTACCTGTATGTTGAGGGCAGGAAGTGCCGGCCTCAGTGTGAACAAGGATAGGCCCCAGCCTGGCATTCTCAGTTCCTCCTTGCTTCCCTGGGCCCTGTGGCCACCCCTAAAACAGCAGGGCCCAGGCACAGAAGGGGGCAGAAAGCTGGCATCCTGAACACAGTCACATAGGGTGTAGGGTTTGCCAAGGCCAGCAGCAAAGGGGTCATCCAGTGGGCTGCCCAGTGATTCCAGTATGAAACTCCCAGCACAACAGGAAGTGGTTGTAAGAGAGTCCCCAGAAGTGTCCGGAGCGTCAACCCTCAGTGTGAGTCACAGCCTAGCCTGGAGGAAATCAGATGCAAACTTGCAGCTCCCCCAGCAGCTACACCTTCATGCCAACTGATAGCCTCGAGCCTCCCTGAAGACAGGTCCACAGGCTCAGAGCTGCCCTCTCCCTCTGCAGAGCTGCCGCTCCCCAGCTCCCTCTACTGGCCACCACCAACACACATACTGGAATGCCCAGCCTTATACATGTAATTTACCTTACATAAGCTAACTAGTTCTCTGAAAAATCTCTTCATCTGGGAATCCAATGAGGAAGTTGGGCTCAGAGAGATTACCTTCCCAGCCTAAGGTCCCACAGCTAGACTGGCAGAGCCAGGATGTGAACCTGTGCGATGCTCAAGCCTACACTCTTTGTGTGCCATACCACCGAGTCCCCAGACTCCTTTATTTTCTGTGATGAAGCAAAAAACCTTCCCTGCAGGCACCTCCTCAATTTACCTCTCTCTAACTCAGCTACAGACCTTTCAAAGTCCACTCCAGACTAGTCTCTCCTTCCATGGCCTGGGGACATCTGATTCCAAGGAGAACAACCCTACCCACTGTACCCCTTTAATGGAATCCTCGCCTCTTCCAGATGGTCCTATTCCCATTTAGCCACTCCTTCTCCTGCTTCCTTCAATCAGGGAGAAAGGCAGAGTTGTGCTTTCTCTTTGCTCCTCAAATGATTTTTTTCACTAAAGGGACCCCCTCCACAAATAACTCTCTAACAACCCTTCCAGATCCTCCATGAGTGTTTCTGACATTTCCCCGAGTTTTTTCACACGGTCCAGAGATTAACTCACCTGCTTCCTTAGTTACTACAACCTTTTTTCCAGGGTCTCCCCCTTCCTTGTTGCACTAAAACTAATGAAATAGGATGGAAGACACAGTCTTTGAGTTTTTCTCTTGCCTGCCTTCCCCCGCATCCCTGAAAACAGCCTCACGGGATGTCTAGGCTCTCAGGGGTATCTGTTGCTCACCTAATGGGGAATCAGATAGGCAATAAAAGTAAGAAACCTGGACAAGGCAACAAAGCTGCAAAAGACTCCCAATAAGTTATCTCTTAACCTCAGTGGAGTAAAGTCTGCCTTAGTCACCCTTAAAACTACAGCTTTCTGAGCCTCATTCCCAGGGACCCTCCTTCAGTTGGTCTAATGCAAGGCAAGAAAATTTGTATTTTCAACAAGCTCCCTGTTTCAACAATGTAGGAATCAACTTGGAATTGACTGCTGAGGACTCTCAACAACACTTTGTTCACCATCCCTTACCATCCCCCCTCCACTCTTACAGAACCCATTCTTGCCCTTCTTTTATTTATTTATTTATTTATTTATTTATTTATTTATTTATTTATTTTTCTGAGACAGAGTCTTGCTCTGTCACCCAGGCTGGAGTGCAATGGCACCATCTCGGCTCACTGTAACCTTCGCCTCTAGGGTTCAAGTGATTCTTCTGTCTCAGCCTCCCAAGTAGCTGGGATTATAGGCGCCCGCCACCATGCTCCACTAATTTTTGTATTTTTAGTAGAGATGGGGTTTCACCATGTTGGCCAGGCTGCTCTTGAACTCTTGACCTCAGGCGATCCACCTGCCTTGGCCTCCCAAAGTATTGGGATTACAGGCGTGAGCCACCATGCCCAGCCCTTGCCCTTCTTTTAACCTATGGTCATTCAGTCTATTTGCTTTCTCCAAAACTACCAGTCCTCCCTGATTTGACTGACCAGTCATTTCTGGGACATCCTCAGGTGCTTCCTAGAATCCCATGCCTCTTTGAACTCTCGTCATTTTAGCTTTAGGCAACCACCAGCAGATGCTTCTGGGTCCCAACCAGTCAACTGACCTCAAATAGCCCTCCTCCCAATAGGGCTTTCCTTCTTGACCTCTCAAACATGCATTCCCTTCTCTATAGCAGCAACTTAAACATTCCCCACCTCTTAGGTCTTCCCCTGCCAGTGAACTTTCTGCTAATGACTTCATCTCTATTGAGGAAGAGGAACCAGCCCTGAACATGGAGCCAAGAAACCTAGGTTTAGTCCAGGGCCCACTGCTAACAGGCTGTAACACAGTAATTGTGGAAAAACCTCCCTCGATTTCACTTCCTTCAGCTGTGAGGTGGAAGGAGATGGGGCAGGAGACATCAGAGATTCTCACCGTGGCTGTGGCATACTGCAGGGCATGCCTGGAGGTTCTGCAGTAAGGAGGGCCAGTAACTGCTCTAGGGATGAAAGGCGTTTCTCCAGTTTTCACAGAAAAAGTACGTTTCCATTTCAAAAACGTCTATCTTTAAGTCCTACTGAGGGCTGTTTACCACTACTAGGTGAACTATCAAGGGTTACTAAAATTTGCTCGTATTTTCATTTTTCTCCTCTCTAATCCTTTTTTAACTCTCACTAGAAAGTGGGAGCAGGTTGGGGAGGTGGGATGTGATCAAAGAAGTTCAAGAATCACTGACATGTTTCTTGAAGCTTCCTTCTGCATCTAGAATTTTGATTTGCTGAAATTGAGTCGGAAGACGTGAGCTCCCTCAGCTTCCTCCCTTACATCTTAATCATCCTCCACATTTTAATGACTTCCTTTCTGTCTTCAGAGGCTAGGCTGCTTCCCTTTCCCTTCCACTCTCTAAGGCCAGTTCTTTCCTTGTAGGGCTGAGGCCACTCCTACCAGCTTCATCACTCATCAGTGACCACCTCACTTCTTAATGCTTCACTTTACTCACTTGATATTAACCTTGGTTCGTTGCTTATAAACATGTTTAGGATCACCTTATTCTCCAAACACCAACAATAACCCCTTACTCCTCTAACCAAAGAGCTTTCTTTAATAACTCATGCCCTTCCATGCAATTCTTCTTGTCAACAAACTTCTCAGGACAGTCTGCTCCAGTGACTCACTTTGAAAGTGACATCATCGGCCCAAGTTCAGGGATCTTTGTGGTCTGCAGTTCTTGATTTTACTAGTTTTTAAAAATGAACCTAATCCCTCAGGAGAAACAACTCTCCCCCAGAACCTCCATTTATTAGTTTACTAATAACGGATGCACTTACCATCTGTGTTAGCTTTGTCCCCAGTCTTGCCTGCTTTTAGTGCCCCACGAACCTAGGGAGTCTAAGCAGCCATCTTGGGCGGGTTTTTCTTATCTCATCCTGCATTGACTCCAGTGACAGTGACCTCTCCATGGCCTCCTCCCTAAGGTCCCTGAAAGGTAGGGAGCCCTGCAGTCCAATGTTGCATCCTCCGTAACTTTTCCCCTCCTATGGTGTCTTAGCCAATCCCACAGTGATCCACCTACAGAGACTGCGGCAGTCTCTGCTATAGGAATGCAGACTTTCACAAGTCAGATGAACATGGATTCGACTCTGCAAAGCCACTGCTATTTCCTAGCTGTGGGGCTTTTCTGACCTTTGGTCTCCTGTCTGTTAAATAGGGATGACATCTGCCTTCTAGGGTGGTTGTGAGGATTCAGTGAGGAAATGTATGCAAGGGGACTACATGTCAGACATCCAATAGAAGTTAGTTCTCTTTTCCTGTAAGACAGCAACCTTGGAGCATAGTCCCGAAACCAGACTCAGGCCACCGACTTTCTTCACATTGTAGATCAGATTTTGTTTCTATCTTAATAGGTCATTCATTATTTTTCCCTAAAAACATTTCCTTTCAAATGGATCAAGTGTTAAAATGTTTCAAATGTTAAAAGTGTTATCTCTGGGAACTCAGATGAGTCATTACATTTTCCTGAATTTCTCAAATTTCCTACAATATAGTACTTTATTTAGATCATTAGGAAGAGGAAATGTTATTGAAAACAAAAGCCAAAAAAAAAATTAAAAACCTTCTATTTAACGCAGTTGGCACTATTCCATCTATTTGATCAAGAAAATATCTTTATAGAATAATTTTGTATTATTTTGCCTTTACCATGTATTCTGTAGCCAACATTTTTTATGGCATAATTCTGTTACAGTTCTGTTTTAAAGGATCAGACATTAGTCCAAAGGAAGATTACATTGAAAGCAAGATCATCTGCTCCCTCTTCCCTTGCCCTAACTCAAGGATTCTCAAAGTGTGGCCCCTCTACCAGCAGCAGCACATCACCTGGGAACTTTTGAGATAAGAAATACAAATAAAGTTCTAAGCCCCCAAATGACTAACAGACCCCTTCTTGGCCAAGGGGACCCCAGAGAAACCTTGGAAGCTAAGTTCATGGCCATGACAGGATGAGAGGTCAGACTCGTCTCATTATATCCCCACCCACAGTGACCAGCCCTTTCAAAAGACTCCACGTGGATAAGGTCAATTACTAGCTTATCTTCCCAGGTACAGAACAAAGACAAGATAAAGTCTAATTCCTCTTTTCCCCTTTTCTAATATTCACTTTATCTTATGTAAAATATAGATTTGCTGGGCACTAACTAAAGTTTCACAAGTGTATAATCATGTTTCATTGCTGCCCCCCACTTCTTAAGGAAAATTATAAATACTAAACCTCCTGGGAACCTCGTTGGAAAAAAAAAAAAAAAAAAAAACAGTCACAGATGCATCTGTGACTTATGTTTTTTCCCTGGGTATGCCCTCAAGCTAGCTCAATAAACCTCAATGATCTGAGACTTAGGCCTCAGTCACTCATTTTGATTGCTAGAGAAATAAAAATTCTCAGGTCCTACCCTGGACCAATTGAGTCAGAAAACCTGGAGGTGGCAGCCAAAAATTAAGTTAAAGAGGAAAATAAAAAAAGAAACAGAAATCATCCCTACCTCCTGACCTCTAGGGAGGGGAGAGTGGCTGAAGGTTGAGTTGATCACCGATAGCCAATGACTTAATCAATCATGCCTATGTAATGAAGTCTCCATAAAAACCCAAAAGGACTGGGTTGGGGGAGCTTCCTGGTTGCTAAAGACGGAGGTACTGGGAGGGTGGCACACCTGGAGAGGACACGGAAGCCCCGCCCCGCTCCCACATACGTTGCTCTATACATCTCTTCATCTGGCTGTTCACTTGTATTCTTTTAAATATTCTTTGTAATAAGTGGGTAAACATAAGTAAAGTGTTTCCTTAAATTCTGTGAGCTGCTCTAGCAAATTAACTGAACTGGAGGAAAGGGTCGTGGTAACTGCCAATTTATAGCCATTTCCTCAGAAGCACAGGTGACAACCTACTAGTTGTAACTGCAGTTGGCGTCTGAAGTAGGGGGTGGTCTTGTGGGACTAAGCCTTCCACCTGTGGGGTCTGGTGCAATTTCCAGGTAAATAGCATCAGAATTGAGTTAAATTATAGGACATTCAGTTGGTGTCTGCTGAAGAATTCCTTTTTGTGTGGGGAAAACACACACACACTTGGTGTCCGAAGTATTGAATGGCATGTGAGAATAGGAAAAAACAGTTTCGTTTTCCTTTACAAGTGGCCTTCTCTCTTACTGGCTTATTTAAACCACTCGCTCCAGCCCACCTTATGTCCAAATGAGGTCAGTGCTAGGAATGAAGATTGAAGCACAGGTACATCAGGGCTGCTGAGGAAATGCCATCAGTAGGCAGAGCTATCTGAGAGATGCTTTAGGCAGCCTGAGAGTGGACAAGCAAATGTCCTCATTTCAGCCACCTTCCATGTGGCTCCCTAGCCTCCCTAAGCATCATTTTCAGGGCTGAGGCTAATGTCCTCTGACCCTGTGATGGGAGAACAGCATGGAGGAGAGAACCTGGAAGAACCTTTGACCTGGCACTTGAAGCTGATTTGCTTCAAGTCCTGGTCCCTAATCCACTCCATTCCACTGCTTGTCTGTCCCCTCTCACCTTCCTCAGGACAGCAGCAGCGGGCGGGACAGCAGGGACAGCGGATGTAGCAGCAGCAATACTGAGGACAGCACTGGCACCAGCACACTCCAATCAGCAGCAGGAGGAGGAGGGCTCCCAGGATGATGAAGATCACGGTCAGCCAGTCTGCAGGGGAGAAGCCAAGAAGGGGCTGAACTAAACATTCAGGGGGAATACTTCCAGCTCTGATGTCCTAGAGGTCTCATAAACAGAGCTCTTGACCTACAGGTTAAAGTTCAGCAATATGTTGGCAAAAAATTAAAAGTTTAGCTTTGATAAGGGAACTTCAGAGGTTGATAATCCAATGACAAGAACTTAGGCTTGTTTATTTCTGTTTTTTTCCTGTGAGTAAAAGTGTTACGGCAGTGAGGCAGACTGAATAGAAAGCTCCAGTAGCACTTACGCAGGACGATGAGCTTTACTTCCTTATCGGGGTCTCCTGATGTGTCCCCTGGAGCCTCAATGGTGCAGTAATACACTCCGTGGTCCCACCACATCACTTCATTAATCACAAGATCTGCTCCTACACAGTAAGGAGGGAGAAAGTGCCAGTGTCAGAAGAGAGAGCACTGGTGTCTAACCTGTGACAGTCTCAAGACCTGGGCAGCATGGTGAGACCTTGTATTTACAAAAAATAATAATAATAAATTATCCAGGCATGGTGGCATGTACCTATAGTCCCAGCTTCTCTGGAGACCAAAGGGGGAGGATCGCTTGAGCCCAGGAAGTTGAAGCTGCAGTGAGCTATGAATGTGCTGATACACTCCAGCCTGAGCAACACAGTGAGACCCTATCTCAAAAAAAAGTTAAACATAAAATACTGTTTAAGTTGCCAGTATATGGGGCTTTTACTTCCTCACAATCAGACCTAATCCCAACTGGTACAGTGGAAATGATTATTTAGCTGCATTTCAGATGAGGAAAATCAAGACTCAAAGGAACTGGCCTAATAACATACAGACAATGCTCATCAGAGGTAGGTTCAAACCCACATCTCTCTAGTACTCGTACCCACCAAGCTTTCCTGTCTTCTCTAAATTGGGTAGAAAAACTCCAGATTCTAGGTCCCTTGTCAGCCTAAAATGAGCAGTTATCTCTGGATCCTGAAGGACAGGTATGAGATGAACTTGAATAAAGATAAAATGCCAGTATTTTAAGAGTAAATGTAACTCAAGAAGAGTTTCAGTTCTTGTGGCGCGCAGTGTTGTATACCTACATTAGGATAGATGAAGGGTTTATATATATATATATTTGCTGTACATTCATTTTTGTTTTTTTAAATTTTAAGGTCAGGGATGTATGTGCAGGTTTGTTACACAGGTAAATGTGAGCCATGGTGGTTTGCTGCACAGATCATCCCATCACCTAGGTATTAAGCCCAGCATCCAACAGCTGTTCTTCCTGATGCTCTCCCTCCTACACCCCCGAACCCTCCAACAGGCCGCAGTGTGTATCGTTCCCCCCATGTGTCCAGGCATTCTCATCATCCAGCTTCCACTTATAGAATCATCAGGGTGGACAGACAACCTACAGAACGGGGGAAAATTTTTGCAATCTATCCATCTGACAAATGTCTAATATCCAGCATCTATAAGGAACTTAAAATGAATGGTTAATATTTATGTTCAAGTTTAGCAAAGTCAATAAATATTCACTAAAGCCCTTTTGTGGGTCCAGCACTATATCACGCACCGAGGAGATACAAAGAGAAACAAAACCCTTTTCTGTCCTGAAAGGGTTTAAAATCCAGTCAAAGGCATCAGGGCAGCCTCTGTGTGAAGTGCAGTGGCAGTTCCAGTTCCCCCACCCACAGTAAGCACCAGCGCCACGGAACCTTAGCGTTACAGACTTGCTCCTGCTAAGTTGGTTGTAATATCTGCAATTCTTTATTATCTGTTTGTCAAGAAATGTTTATTGAGGAAATGAAACAAAAATGCAAGGTCACGCATCAGTGGACCTAACTTTAGGACTTCTGTTTCCTTCTCTTTCTACGTCAATACCTACAATTTTTTCCTACCCACTATTTTCCAAACCCACTACCTTTCCCAGAAATAAGCTTACCCTAGACTTGGAAAAATGGTGAAAGTGCTTTTAAAAAATTCCCCCTTGGGGCATGATGTGTATTGTAAATCTGCTCTAATTTTTATTGGAGACATAAAGAGTATTTGAGGGATGTCAGAGTAAGAAGGGTGTTCAGATATGTTAATGTTTTAAAGGATCTAAGGACTGATTTGACAGGGTCATCTCAAATGATGCAAGCATAGGCAACAAAGTGTCAGAACACAAGGACTCCAGAAGTCCCAACAAGCCTGGAGACAGAAATAAAAACAGAGGGGAATACTAACGTATTCCTGTGGGAGTAAGAACGAAGCAGGGTTTGAGCCAAAGGTGGCTGGGAATGGAAGTAGTGGAAGGTATTTACCTTCATGTTTTTAGAAAAAAAAATAAGAGCAGGGACTAGCTACTATGGGGATTTCCATCCTTCAGAAACTGTACAAGTAATTTGCTAATTAAAGAGGCTTGAAACTTTGAGGTCAGAGAAGAACAAATTCTGCTGGCTTTGGAAAAGGCAGAACCACCTTGGATCTTTAGAGATGTCCCTGGAGACCAGAAAAGAAGGACAGATGTACCCTAAAGCTGAGAGCTGGCTTGGGGAAATCAGAGGCCGAATTTAAAAAAAAAAAAAAAAAAAAAAAAGGTAGGCGGAGCTTGCAGTGAGCTGAGATCGGCCACTGCACTCCAGCCTGGGTGACAGAGCGAGACTCCGTAAAAAAAAAAAAAAAAAAAAAGGTCAGACTTAAGTGTTACAGACAAAACTGAAAGCAATTATTAAACTGGTTCCCGTTAAGTGACCTCCCTTTAAACAGTCAGAATATTCACTGATTCCTTGATATTGTAGCTATGGCCACCATGAGTGGCCCACCGGGTGTATTCTTCCCTTTTTCCCCTTTTAACAAACAAATATTTATTTAACACAGCACATAAAGCCCATTGAAATAGGCTCTGAATTCTGTGCTGATCTATGGCAGCGACTGTGTATTACACAATAGAAATATGAGGAGCTAAGCCATTTATCCAAAAGTATACGGAGTGATAACTAATGCTTACTGCCCACTTCCTGTTTGCTAAATACTTTATACATATTACCTTACTCCCCACAAATCTCTATGATCTAGGTACTATGACAAGTCCCATTTTATAGAAATTGAGGCTGAAAAATTGTAGATACTTGCCCAGGTTCACATACCCTGTAAATGCAGAATTGGGATGCACACTTGCACCTGACTCCAGGGCTCTCACCACTACTCCCTGCCCAGGGCACAGAGAATAGACAGGCTTTGGACACAGCTCTCACGTATCACGCTAGATATTCACTTTGGAGAAGGGAGGAAGACACCACGATGCCCATCGTTCAGATGAAGAAACAGAAGCCAAAGAAAATAACTGATCAGGTCGGGTGCGGTGGCTCATGCCTATAATCCCAGCACTTTGGGAGGCTGAGGCAGGCGGATCATGAGGTCAGGAGATCGAGACCATCCTGGCTAACATAGTGAAACCCCGTCTCTACTAAAAATACAAAAAAATTAGCCGAGTGTAGCGGCAGGCACCTGTAGTCCCAGCTGGGGAGGCTGAGGCAGCAGAATGGCATGAACCCGGGAGGCGGAGCTTGCAGTGAGCCGAGATCGCACCACTGCACTCCAGCCTGGGTGACATAGCAAGACTCTGTCTCAAAAAAAAAAGATAATAACTGATTACCGGTCACTGAGCTAATGAGAGGAAGCACTAGGACTCTCATTGGGGCATTTTAGTCCAAGCCCAGTGTTCTTTCCTCTATCAGTGGAGGACAGTGGTCTCAAGGTGGTCATCTGCTCAGAGCCCCCTATTTCCTTCCATATGAACAACAGGAATAGCCAGAGGGAAACTCAGTGACCTGGGGTTTCAGTAGGCCCCGAGAGCAATTTGTGGAATGAATCAAAGAAATCTGATCCACATCTTAGCCCTGAATCTCAGGAAAGCAAAGGAAACCACTCACCCCTAGACTTTTAGCCAAAGCTATAGATAGCAACAGAACAACCTCTGGTCCAGAGACTAACTTCCAGGGAAGTAACTTCAGCTGGTGCAGCACATTCTATGAAGCTGGCACTTTCCTCAAACAATGACAGTGACCAAGTAGAACAACAGGCAGCAGAAAGAAATGGGAAATCCCATGCTGACTCAGCCTGCCGGGCCTGGTGTCTGCACCTCCCCCCACCCCCAGTTCCCCTGACACCTCCCCCGCACTCACGGTTCTGGATGGTGATCTTGCGCTGCCGGTAATCTACCCCCAGCACAGGCTCATTCTGCCCCCGCCGCTGCGCCACGATGCGAACTTCCCGCTGGTTGTCGTTGCAGTCGTTGGATGGGTCCTGGCCCAGGGATAAAGCTGCCTGGTATGCTGAGGAGAGAGGGCACACTAGAGTCACACAGCTATAGGGGTTTCCCACAACGAACGGTTCCTTTCCTGCTCCAGGTGTGAGACACAGTGAAGTGTCTCAATTTTTCCCAAGACTATGCATCCCTTGGCACTCTTGTTAATCATGAAGATCCTGATTCTGCAGGTCTAGAGTGGTATCTGAGATTCTCATTTCTAATATGCTCCCTGGTGATATCAGGCACCACACTTTGAGCAGCCAGACTCCTGACCCCCTAACAGGCCATGATTTCATGCCGGCTGTATCCCCCACCTCCTATTCCAACTTCCTTTGTCTCATTTTCAAAGTCACCCCAGCCTCCTTCTGCTCCCATGGAATTCATCTACCTGCCCTTAAAACATGAAGTCGCATGCCTGTAGTCCCAGCTACTCAGAAGGCTGAGGCAGAAGAGTCACTTGAACCTCGGAGGCAGAGGTTGCGATGAGCTGAGATCACGCCATTGCACTCCAGCCTGGGCAACGAGAGTGAAACTCCATCTCAAAAAAAAAAAAAAAAATATATATATATAATACTACTATATATATAATCTGAGAGCTGTTAAATCTGCCCCTGGCAAATGCCTGCTTCCCTAGCCTCTCCTCCCTGGCCATTTAACCCAGGCATTTTAAGAGTAACCCCCAGGAAACAACGCCTCAATTTAGAGAGGAGTCTTTTGGGGACAATGGCAGGATCAGTGGGTGGCTCAGACAGCTCTTGAGGTTCTGCTCACATCATATTGTGAGACATTAGCTCGAGAGCTCAAAAAGTAAAAGTTAGGGTCCTCGCAGAAGGAGTTGAAGCACCATGTCACCACCATGTCCTGGAGCTGGGCAGAGGTGGTGTAGTCATTAGTAAAGACTAATGCCTCCCTCTCCCTTTGCTTCTTCTCAGGAGGCTCACTTCTTCCTATGAACAGGGTGTCTACTTCTATTCTCAAAATCTCCAAACAATTAATTGTCTTGGTGCTGACAGTGGGGTGTTCTGGGTTCCTTTGTTCTTTGAGAGAAGGCAGAAATGGGCAACTAGGAAAGAGCTCTGATCCAGACAGCACAACCCACATGCCTGGGGGCAGTTGTTACTGAAAGGCAGGACTGGCCAACCCTAAGGGGGAGTTGTGTAGCACTAAGAGACTTCCCACAGTTAAAGGGCTGCCTGTGGGGCACTGGAGGGCTTAGTCAGCAGAGGAATGACCATCTCCCCAAAGGCGGACTGAGGAAGGGAATATAGCAAGAAGCAAGAGGCTCCTAGTCATTTGTGCTGAGTGTAGAGTCTTCTTGCCGGCATTGTAAGGTGGTGGGGGTGACGGGAGGCAGGCCTGCATTGTCAGCTCAGCACGCTGGCATGGAACCAGGAATGAACAGGGAGGCAGGACTTTTGCCTAATGTCTGAGTTTCTTTAAATTTTTTTGAGAACAAAGCAGGACAAAAATTGTAAAATAAACTAGTATGTGACCTTGAATACATTATTTCATCTACTTGGACTCCGTTTGTTTATCTATAAACAGAGGAACTGCATTAGGTGATCTTTGTGGCGTCTGCTCACTACCAAGATTTGTAATCCTAACTAATCCCTCAGCCCTAACCACAGTATGTCACAGAGGTGTCTGGGCCCCACACATGGCCAAGGGGGTAAGGATACTCACACGCTGAGTAGTAGTCAAAGATAGGGTCCTTGCAGAAGGACTTGAAGCGCCATGTCACCACCACGTCCTGGAGCTGGGCAGAGGTGGTGTAGTCACATTTGAGGATGACAGAAGAAAACAGGGTGACATAGCGTTCTGTGTGCTGGACTGTCACAAGCAAGGACAGGCACCCTAAAGCCAAGAGCAGGAGACAATGCTGAAGGTGACCTACATCTGCTCACGGGTAAGAAAAACAATGCGAATGAGTAAAATACACTGCCTGCCGTCCTGCCTTACGCTGGCTAGGAGCTCACAGAGTCTGGGCTCTTACTCACCTGGGCAGGCAATGGCTGGGGTCGGGTGGAGAACGCACTCAGCCACCTCAGAGGGGCATAGGAAGAAAGGAGTGAGGAAAACTCCCAGGAATTTACAGTGCATTAACAGTGATGACATATCCAACAATATAAGAATTGTATCAAAATAAAGCCACATTTGTACTGAAGTGACACTGCTAATATATTTTTTTTCCCTCACATCACGTCTCTTCTTAAAATGGTTTCCCATTTCCTAAGGATAAAGTTCAAGCTCCCTAACCAGGCCTACGAAGCCCATTAGCTCAGCCTAATGCCCTTCTCGTCTGCCCTATGTCCCTTCACGTCTCATCTCCCACTCGAGGGGTCAGCCATTCTGAACTCGCTTCAGTCTTTCCCATGCTAAGACCATTCTCTTCTCCAGGTGCAGCTCTCTCATCCTGGAACAGTCTTCCACATCACCTGCCACTGCTCCACTCTCTTCCCTGGGCTAATTAAGATTCGTGCCTTGGGTCCTCAGCTGAACAGGGATTCTACTTCTGTCTACCCCGTAGACAGGGTTCTGTGTCTGGAACCGTACCTCCTCCAGCAGCCCTCCTGTCTGCAAGTCTGGGAGAGGGACCTCCCTCTGTTTTTTCTAAGTGCCTCATCCTACCCCTAGGCAGCACTTTTCATGCTTCTTGTTGATGGCCTGCTCACTGTGGGCTCAGAGAAAAACGCAGTTGGCCTTCTCTAAGTCATTGCTCAAATACCAGCGCCCAGTACTGTGCCTGTCACCTACTTGGCACCCAACAAATGTTTGTTGAATAAATGATGGAATAAATGACTAAGAATATATTAACCAGTGGAAATTTGGCAGTACAGGCAGTCAGCATAAACACAGAGCAAATAAAACAGTCAGATTGTGACAAACTGCATCAAGAAAGACTTGAGGAAATTAAGAGGAGATTTTTCCTTTTAAAAAATGTCCTCTCCCTACCCTCCAAACCTACAGGCATACTTAAAGCTCCAGGTGTGCCTTGATGAAGGATTAGGTAGCACCAAAATGTCAGGTGGGCCTTTGGCACAGTCAGGGGTCCAGACATAACCAGCACCTTGGAACATTCCTATGTTAGTTTGGTTTCTAGGCCAAGTTATAAAGGGATTCTCTTGTGGGAGGTTTAGTGTGGAGCAGTAGTACTCAAACTCGAGTATGCATCACCAGAGGGCTTGTGACAGCCCAGATCACTGAGCCCTATGCTAGGAGTTTCCAGTTTCGTAGGACTTGGCTGAGGCCCAGAGACACAAATTTTTTTCTTTTCTTTTTTTTTTTTTTTCTCACCCTGTCACCCAGGCTGGACTGCAATAGCACAATCTCGGCTCACTGCAACCTCCACCTCTCAGATTCAAAGGATTCTCCTGCCTCCGCCTCCCAAGTAGCTGGGATCACAGGTGCCTACCACCATGCCTGGCTAATTTTGGTATTTTTAGTAGATGCAGGGTTTCACCGTGTTGGCCAGGCTAGGCTCAAACTCTTGACCTCAAATGATCCACCCACCTCAGCCTTCCAAAGTGCTGGGAATACAGGCGTGAGCCACTGCGCCCGGCCTGAGCCACTGCACCTGGCTTCTTTTTTTCATTCTTTTTTTTTTTTTTTTTTTTTTGAGATACAGTCTTCCTCTGTTGCCCAGACTGGAGTGCAGTGGCACAATCATGGCTTACTGCAACCTTGACCTCCTGGGTTCAAGTGATCCTCCGGTCTCAGCCTCCCAAGTAGCTGAGACTACAGGCATGCACAACTATGCCTGACTAACTTTTTAAATTTTTAGTAGAGATGAAGTCTTGCTATGCTGCCCAGGATGGTCTTGAACTCCTAACCTCAAGCAATCCTCCAGCCTCAGCCTCCCAAAGTCTGGGGTTATAGGCGTGAGCCACTGCACCCAGCAATGGATGTAAATTTCTAACTAATTTCCAGGAGATACTGATGCTACTGCTCTGAGGGCCATACTCTGAGAACCATTGGTGTAGACTTGATTTAAAACACACACACACACACACACACACACACACACACACGCTTTAGATTCAGATACAGCTGTGTTGAAATCAAACTTTAGTACTTACTTGAATTTTGGACAAGTTATTAATGCTCTCTGAGCTGGTTTCTCAGCCCTGAATGGAGATGATGATAGTGCTAGCCTCATCAGGTCCTTGCAAGAATGAGATAATCCACTGTCCTTGGCATGAAGCCTTGCACATACACTGCCATGCTAGTGTTAGTATGTGGGTCTCTTCCCCTTTTCCCTTTATTATGAGGGCCAGGGAGAAAGAGGTTGGAGTTCGGGTGTTCTCCAAAAGAGTTTTCAAGTGGAGCCACCTTCATTTTGACCAAGGTACTCCCACAAACAAAACAAATGTAGTCATTATCTTACGGAGCAGCTAGGTGGGCCTGTCTTGAAGGCTAGAGTCACAGGATTCTTGGGTCCTGCCTGACCTACTGGTCACAGCCCTTATAAGACTTTCCTCTTAAACTTGCGATAGGCACCTGCATCTGGGTTCCTCACATCCATAGACAAGACAGCAGAATGCTGTTCAGGACAGGCACTCACAGAAATGACCTGATGACAGACAGCAGAATGATGTTCAGGACAGGCACTCACAGAAATGACCTGACAACCTGTCTCCAGGACTGGGCTGTGATGCAGATGCCCCAAGGCAGTTGTGCTGGATAGAGGCTCTGCAGCAATGCAGGCGAGAGCTGTGGGCAGGAAGCCTTCATGAAAGGAAAAGATTTAACCTAGGCTCCAAGAAGCAGGTAGGACTAAGATTATGCATGAGAAGCAGGAAGAAGGCAGAGAAACTCATTGTTTCTGTAAGCAAGAAAGGAGGGAACAAAGAGCCTTATTAGGAAGGGGCAGTTACTTGGGCAACCTGGGGGAAACCAATCTAGCTGTGTCTCCAGCTTTATGGAAAACAGAGAAGATAAATAACGTGGGGCAAGTGGTGGTGAGTGGGAGATGGAGCAACGGAGTGAAGTCTAAATCACAATCCAGTGTCAATTTCTTGTCCATGGATCATCACTGAAGTCTTTTCTGAAGAACAGTAATAGGGTGAAAGTGGTGTTTTTAGGAAGATAGATGACTTCCCCACTCAACTGTAAATGAAAAAAATAACATTTTTAAAATAAACCTTGAGTATTTTTGGGAAAAACAGCTGCTGTCTCCATAAGCTGTAGATTCCCAGAAATCAGGTCAATCAGAATGGAAGGGCCAGTGATCAGCATCTCAAGCCTAACATGGATTCTTAATCTAATTTTTGGTTCTTGTTCTTTCTCTCTGACTACCCCTTTGTGTTTTTTTGTTTCTTTGTTTTCTTCCAGAACTGACCTGAAATAGACCTTGGAGATCTCACCAACCACAGTTTTATCTGAACAGTAGAAACAGCCACAGATAAGATTTTCTCAATGAATAGGTTGCCATTGTCAACACTGACTTATTTTGTTCCATAACACACGTACCAATGAGAAGGGAGAGGAAAACACTGATTTTTGGTCTAAATAAAATCTTAGGTTCAACAGTATCTTCAAATATATTCTTTTACATACTAAATGTGATACCTGGGAGAAGATTAGCTATGCTCACTTCCTGTACAACAAATCTGAGGCTTAGAAATTTAAGTGACTTGTCTGTGGTCATTCGTTTTCTAAGGGGGTCAGAGTCAACATTCTGTCCCTGAGCAGTGCTCTTGCCTCGCAGGTTGGCTATTCTTTAAATAAAAGATAATTGGTATTCACAAGTTTGCAAATAATTTGAGCTGGGGCCAGGCTATGTGAGTAATAATTAAAACATAACTGGTGCAGTCACTCTGACACAGTGAAATAAAGAACTTGTAGGCTCTTTATTTGGCTGAATGTAATTTGATATAAATAGCAATTTATTCAACACTCCAGTCAACATCACTTGTATAGAGGTAGAGCATTTGGGAGCAGGGAGGCCAGGTTTGCTGGGGGTCAGAAAAGGGAGTTTGGTTAGAGTCAGAAATTGCTGTGGGGTAGCTTTGAAGATTGCAGAATCTGACACCCTCGAGGACGGGAAATGGGGAGAAAGGTGATCACTCAGCTCCCCTTCCATGAATGCTCTTATTGTGGACAAACCACAGTTGGGGTGACACAACTCACCTTTACCAACGTCAGCACTGACTTAGCTGCTTGGGTTTTCTTTTATCTTCTCTTCTATTTCATCCCTGTGTGAATGTCAAGCTTTGAAATCTGCCAGGTTCAGCAAGTTCTGACCATCTTGAGGTCATTCACACTCCCTCTCCCTCCAAGGGTCTGCCAGCCCCACAGCATCCTGCGCAGACCTCACACCTCCACCCCCTGCCCTGTCTCTCTCTCTCTGTCTCACACACACACACACACACACACACACACACGAAGAGTCCCAGGAGAAGAATTACTGAACAACCCAGCAAACTCTTCTCCCATCTTCTCAGTTGTTGCTTCTGGCCCTTAGCATCTATTATGCACCGGGTGATATACATTCTTAGTCTCTAATTCTCACAAACCCCCTCAGCTGGGCAACAGCCCTGCTCATATAGGTGGGCAGAAGTTCAGAGTATAAGCCACACCCCCACATGCCCAACATCACATACCTAAAAAGTGTCAGCGTCAGGATTTGAGCTTGGGCCTTGCTAACACCAAATCCCAATTTTTCCCAAGCAGGCAAGCTTGATCTTCCAAAGTAGAAGTCAGGCGCCAGGCTCTTAAAAAGCAGTCGGATTTTTCAGATTGGGAAGGAAAGAGGCAGTAGCAGGACAGTCCATCTAAAAGGCAAAAATCTCCCCACTTTCTTTTCCTATATCCTCTAACTTCTCTGTAAACCTAACCACACTGGGCATGCACAG